GACGTCCAACTTCGAGACCAACAGGCAGGATTCCGTAAGGACAGATCGTGTACAGACCAAATCGCAACTCTATGGATCATTGTGGAACAATCAATTGAATGGAATTCATCACTCTACATCGACTTCATGGACTACGAAAAAGCATTTGATAGCGTGGACAGAACAACACTATGGTAGCTTTTTCGATACTACTGCATAACTCAGAAGATAGTCAATATCATACAGAATTCCTATGATGGATTACAGTGCAAAATTGTGCATGGAGGACAATTGACAAAGTCGTTCGAAGTGAAGACCGGTGTTAGGCAAGGTTGTCTACTCTCACCCTTTCTCTTTCTCCTGGTGATCGACTGGATCATGAAGACGTCAATATCTGAAGGGAAGCGCGGGATACAATGGACATCTAAGATGCAGTTGGATGATCTAGACTTCGCAGACGATCTGGCCCTTCTATCCCAAACGCAACAACAGATGCATGAGAAGACGAACAGTGTGGCAGCAGCCTCAGCAGCAGTAGGTCTCAATATACACAATGGGAAAAGCAGGATTCTCCGATACAACACAGCATGCACCAATCCAATCACAATTGACGGAGCAGGTTTGGAAGATGTAAAAGCCTTTACATATTTGGGCAGCATCATTGATGAACAGGCTGGATCTGATGCAGATGTGAAGGCGCGGATCGGCAAAGCAAGAGCAGCATATTTACAACTGAGGAACATCTGGAACTCAAAGCAACTGTCAACCAACACCAAGGTCAGGATTTTCAATACAAATGTCAAGACAGTTCTACTGTATGGGGCAGAAACCTGGAGAACTACGAAAGCCATCATCCAGAAAATACAGGTGTTTATTAACAATTGTCTACGCAAAATACTTCAGATCCATTGGCCGGACACTATTAGCAACAACGTACTGTGGGAGAGAACAAACCAGATCCCAGTGGAGGAAGAAATCAGGAAGAAGCGCTGGAAGTGGATAGGACACACATTGAGGAAAGCACCCAACTGCGTCACAAGACAAGCCCTCACATGTAATCCTGAAGGCCAAAGGAAAAGAGGAAGACCAAAGAACACATTACGCCGAGAAATGGAGATAGACATGAGAAAAATGAACAAGAATTGGATGGAACTAGAAAAGAAGGCCCAGGACAGAGTGGGTTGGAGAATGCTGGTCGGCAGCCTATGCTCCATTGGGAGTAACAGGCGTAAGTAAGTAAGTATATTGTGGTGCGTGCTACTTATATTGATATAAATAGTATATTACGCGAGTCAGGAATGTAATGTCTGGCAGCAGAAGATGGGGTAGATCAAGAAAGAAAGAGCGGGAATAGAAAGCAATTAGTATGGAAATCCAAGAACAATGAAGTCCGAGACAATTATTGGACATTTTGCAAATTAGGTATAATAGTATGGTTTTTCTATATTACCGAGTAACTCTGTAATTTTGTGCTAACTATAATGTGATTGGCCTCACCTGTGTTCTCCTTCACTACAATATAAATACCTAAATAATATATATATTCTAAATTTACTTCATTTACAAGTCGAAAAATTGTAGTTCGTTAAGTGACAAGAGCTAGAATTCTGTTCACCTTTTGAGTAAAGCTTCAAACTTTGTGCTGAGTGAATAAGATTTTTTCTTTAAGTTTTATGAAGCAATCCTAATTATGGTGACAATAATCATAGTTCAAGATTGTTTCGAAAAAAGGTAAGAACTTTCATATCTCGAGTGATTAAGGTTACACGTTTTCTAAATTGATGATACAATTAATGAGATGAATAATCACATTAAAAAGTTTATAGTAAAACATAATTAATTCAGTGAAAAAAAGATGAGCATAAAAAATTTACAAAGGTTAAAGGTGAAAAAAACATGAAACGTTGAGCATGGTCAGAGGTGAACATCAGATTCTAAAATAGTATCGTATGAAATCCATCTGGGTCTATTTACTTTCAGAATCCTTGGCTTATATTAAAGTGATTGTCTTATGTACAACTATTTTTATTTCTTCTAACTTGTGTTATTTTAAGTAGTACATATGGGCTAACAGCTGAAAATAAATAAAGATTTCTTCAAGAATATATATTTCATATATTATGTGCTGATTAACTTTATTGTTGGATATGTCTCTTCAATAGTTATTTTCAGTCTACAGTTATTCTATGACTTTAAGTCATTTCTTTTAAATGAAAGTTTAAGGACTATATTCTGTTATGGTACAGTGATTAGTATTGAGCTTTTTTTGACTCAGTGTTGATTAATGAAATTTAGGAGATAGTCAATTTCTATTAAAACCTCCATGTTTTCAAGTTTATTATCAAAGTATGTGTTTAGTCTTTAAAAATTATCTTCCAACGAGATTGCTTTCGTAAAAACCCGAGTAAAAGCAGTTGTTTAGTTGATTTTGTCCAGTTTTAGATGCCATACCATGAATTTAATGTGTAACTAAGTCGTTTTTATATTTTGCCATAGTTTGATCCAAGCAATACAACCTGTGTTGCAATTCACTCAAGTGTAAATTTTACATTCAAATAAAATGAGTTGGAATGAATAAGCCTTTTGTTTATATGATTTCTGTCATCTTATATGATATATTTACCATGATAGAAAATATTTGTAGCTCAGGTGGATGATTTTGGTCGAGTTTTGTTATCTGAGCCGAATGGTTTGGTCGTTGAGCTTTCATCGTTCTTCTGAATGATATCAACATCACACACTTCACTTCTACCAGAATTTTGTGCTGATTATGTCGTTCAGAAGAACAACGAAATCTCCACAACTAAACCATTTAGCTCAGAAAACAAAACTCCATCATAATATGTGTATCATCAATTAGTCTCACAAACATTATTATTCTATTCATTTCGTTGGCATTGATATTCTCTCTGTTGTAACACAAACAAAATATTTTTATGGTCTAACTGATCAAAACTGATACTGCTCTATAATAGCTTAATACAACATACAATTTATAACACTAAGAGATTAAATGATTTAACAAACAAGTATAATAAAATTACTGGGTTGCATATTTACTCCTTTCTAGCACTCCACACCATTAGTTCACTCAGGATACTGGAGCCCATATGCACCATTGGGTTGGAATCAGGGTTTTCCAACTCCCCTAGGTGGACTCTCCATTCCACCAACCCGGTTAAAGCGCCGAACATTCGCTTTTCCTTCTCCCAATTTCGTAAACAACAGTAATGTCACGAGAAGGCAATGGGTATGACTTCCCTGGCAGAGGCTATATATGCGTGTCCATGTGAGAGCATTTGGAGAGGGATAGCAGACTTTCCTCACTCTCGGCCGTACCAGGGCATTTGAGGGCATTGTCGTCATTATTACTTCTTTTCATTTTTGTATTATCTTCATCGTTATTATTGTAATTATAGTTAACAATTTAACATTGTTATTAGTCTTTCAAACACACCAATAGTTTAGTTGTGCAGACGATTTGTGGAGATTGTTACACTGTTGAAGTTAACACAAAACGTTGATACTGTTTTCGCAACCATTTCAAACCAGAAAGTAGTTGACGGCTGTTCCGTTCTATGTATGAGACACCTTGGCAATGTCCTTCTAAAACCCCACGAGGAATTAAACCCATGACTTTCAGTCTCAAATGCGAACGCTTAACCTATAGAACACTAAGTTGGCATCCAATTATGTTAATGTCCAACTTCCATCGATTCACGATAATGAGCTATCCTTATCCATTGCCTGTAGTGGATAACTATCTTACACATCATATGGTTGTACTCCACTGGTCACTGATTCTCACTAGGTGGATGAGAAATTTTGGGAAGTTTCATATTAGGACGGAAAAGTTTTCTAGTACTCCCTAGTTTTCAGTGGTTGTCTAGCTAAGATCAATCTGCGGAGTAAACTATAAAAGTTCAACAGTCTCAATAAACCCTTTTTACTTATAATAATCGTGTTCAAACGTGTCTAACCTCACCAAGTAATTCCAGGGATTCTAGTGAAAATCCGTGACTAGTGGAGTTCATCTACTGCGGGTGTGAGACAGTTATCAACTACAGACTATAGGAAACGGTCTCTCAATACTAAAGATGATTTATTTTCAACATTCACTCCACCTTGATATTTCTTACTAAATTCTTATCAATCCATACATTACGTAGATTTTAACAAACATTTGATTAGATTTATAATCAAAACAACAATATTTTATTAATATTTATTTTTATCATTAATCTCACAACTTTGTTTGACGTATAATCTTATCCAAGTTAACGCTGGATATTAGCTATTTCATCATAAACAATCTTTTTATTTTATAAACAATCCTAAATTGACGTGATGCACTTTTAAAAGATGTATTTGTCATAGACTCAGCCATTCTTATTGATCTTTTGTCTAGATATAGAACTGTAGAAACTTGATGATGGTTGATTAAAAAACTGGCTTCTCAAAAATACCTACTACTTGTAGACACTTCAAGAAGCATATTCACCTCACATATTTACTTTGTATGAAAAACTTTGTAGTAATTATTTCAGCATATTTCACCTATATGACTGTTAATCTAGATATCACATTATTGTAAATGCATATTTATTTACAGATGTCTATCTTCCTTTTTACATTATGACCAGTTACACAAACTAAACAACAAACTGCTTTTCAACCAGTATATAAGTAAAAAGCTTTTTCACAATATAGAAATCATCGATTATGAATTTCAAGAGATGAATTTATCATTCCATAGCTAGTCAAACTACTTTACAAATCTAGGTTTGTTCATAAGTTAAATTTAGGTGTATAGTGTCCTTAATTAAAGCTGGAAAAAACAGTTGAATCTTAAGCTGTACATATTTCAAGAGAATAACAGGGCTTCATTTTTTGAATATTACATATAGAGTCAAAGTCAAATATAAGCTAAAAGTTTATCGAAAACAATATCAAAATGAATTAACAAGTTACTTAAAAATGACTTTATCAAAAAAAAGATTTGAAAATATGAAAACTATTACCTTCACCCCATCCTGTAACTCCTATTTCTGGAGCAGGACACACTCTGGTAAGATGTTCTTGACAAATATCTTTATTGTGAATTACGACGGGACAATTTCTGCAATACAAATATGAGTGACCATGAACTGAATGTAGACAGAATTCGCACAGATCTCGAAGTCGTGAACAAGTTGCACGCACAAAAACATGTCCTTTTAGAAGAACTTCAAAAACTCTATCATCAGTTTTATAATGATTATTGCTTTCCTTATGTGAATGTACTTGATTATGTGACAGACTACCAGCACTGGAGTATTTAAATCGATGAGTTGTCTTATGTTGTCGAGATAGATGTTTTTGACTAGCATTTGATATTAAATGACCTAACGCACTACTAGACATATGCTGCTTGAAGGAACTCAAAGATCGTCCTTGAGAATGATCTGGGCCATGATGATGTAAAAAATAACGACTTCTACTTTTTCCATCATCATTTGCATTACGATGAATAGACGCATTTGATGTAGATCGAACTCCTGACATTGTTATTTCCTATGAAACCAGTTAATTCATGTATTTTAAGTTAAAGTACTGTAGTGTAATGATAATTTTAAAAATCCAACAAAATATTAATTAAAGATTTTCAATTAAGTTTAACAAAAGTTCTAAAGATTTCTAGTAAGCTCCAAGTTAATTTAACCAATCATATGCAAGATCATTGAGCACTAATTGACCAATCCAATGAACGATTTGTTTTATCTGTAAACAAGTTTAATAATGAAGAATATTATTCAATTGATCACTTCGTAATTACTTTTATTTCCTGATGTAGCAAGTCTCTAACTTAATAACTATCATGCTATATTTAGTTAAAGCAGTTTTAAATTGAAAGAAATAAAAAGATAGTTTTGATTGAATGTGTTTTAAAACATAGAGAGAAACCCATTGAGTCGTTAGACAAAATGATGACGTTTCAGTGAATAAAATTTTCTATTGCAATGACATCACTTAACGAAATTATACAATCATATTTATATTTATTTCGTCTATATATAGTGGTTTATATTAAAAAACAAAGAATCATTGTATCATTGACAAAAGTTCTAAAAGTAAATCAGGATATAAAGTTATAAAGTAGTCAATGTATGAAATAATATCCAGAAATAAAATGTGAAAGATCATTCGCTTGACGATTATGAGGAAGAGTTCATCAAAGAATAGATAAATCGAATAATACACCAACATTATTGATAGTTTTACTGGAATTTTCTCAGTAATTAAGTTTGCAATCATTTATAATTCACTAATAAGCTCATAGATATATGAAGTGAATATGTATGTATATATATTTAATTGATCACTTAAAACAATGCAAAGTAGGACCTTTTAATTATGACAAATGTCCAAAAGTATGAAAAGATCGTTTTTATCGGCTTGTGTTTTTATTACATAAAAAAGGGAAGTAGATTATTCAAGGTTTACTAACTTTTCACAAACGTTTAATGAAAAACGTCTCGTATGATTTGAATAGTCACTATGTTCCAGATCAGTAAAGAATTTTCTACACAAAATATAAAGTATTTTAAAGAAAAATTCTATTTTATTTTCGAGTAACTAGTAAAAATTCGAAATTGTGGTTATCTTCTTTGATTATCTACGAACAATTTCGCTTCTACAACAATCTTTTGGTAATGTAATATAATTAATCCTCTATAGCCATTCTAAAAAAGAAACTAAGCCAACCATTTTTACGTTTGGTTGTACGATTTTATTTTGTATGAGCTTAACATTTAGAACTAATGAAGTGAAACAAATCAATAATTGAATACTTTGCTGGATTATTTGCAAAACTGGAAAACAAATGGTCCAGACAAATGAACAGACAATCTGATTGAGATTATGAACTGATTGGTGTTAAACCACCATTGAAAACCTGGAAGCACTGGACGGCCATTTCGTCCTATTGTGGAACTCCTCAGCAGTGCGCATTCATGATCCCGCCTCACGAGATTTCAACCTAGAGCCTTCAGTCTCGCGTGCGAACGCTTAACCTCTAGACCACTGACAATCGTTTTCAAAAATACTTACAATAATTAAGTAAAAACAAAATGAGAATGATTCGGTTTCAATTTCACCAGAAAAATAAGTCTTAACATGCTGATGATAAACATTTATCTCTGTAGAGAACCATATTTCTCATCAAGATACACACGTATACAAATTAATAGGATTTACTGGATATCATACAATGAGTTGTAGATATTAATCAACTGTTGAGACTGGTCCGATAATTTTTTCCAATAAATGGCACCATACTGTAACGAACCACAAGTTTAAGATTTTTTAAAAAATCCATGCAAATGGAATATTTTTTTTCCTAAAAATTAAGCTAATTTCAATAAACATCGGACTATTGACCATATGAAATAAATTACGAGTCTTTCTAAGGATAATATTTGAACTTTTTCCATTTCATATTTATATGGTTAATTATGAAACATTGACTCAAACCGGTTGTTACTATACAGTAATAACATAATATTTGGATTCTTTTCATTACAATAACTCTGTTAAAGATCGATCAATATATAAATGATTAAAACTATAGAATAAACATTTACAAAAAAACTAATCAACACCTTTTGGAATTTATTAAATTAACAGATCCATTAAAATTATGGAGTGAAACTAGTAAATTTTGTTGATTTAATCAGAGTACAATGTAGTAAAAGAAAAATAGGTCATTAGTAACAAAATATGACATAGAAACTAAATTTACTCTCAATTATTACTGTTAAGTTTTGTTTTAAAGAAAAAATCTAGTCGTTATTTTAAAATATAACTAGAATTTCACTAGGTTACTAATCACTGATCTGAATAATGGATTTAGAAATATAGTTGATTAAACAAATAGTTTAAATTAGCATTGAATGTAAACATTATCAATCTGTTTTTTCTTTTCTTTTTTCTCCTTTTTTTCTCTTCTCTTTTTTTAAACATTATTGAGTCGATAACCAGTGTTGTATACAAATTAGTTTCAGTAAATAAATTTTGTTGATATTTAATTTGACAATAAACATAATAATGCATAATCTACAATATGTTATAGTGTAATAAGATGATAAAGATTAATAGAACTATGTAATATATCAACTCAATACATTTCGAACAATCTAATCTAAACACATATACTTCTTAAGAACAAAAATAAAGATGAAATCATTTACTTTAGCTGTATATTCGTATTTCTAGTTATATGGAAAATATATGTCTATAGATGGATAAAAAAGATTGCATCATAAATTGATTCGGAGCTATTATTATCAAGTGAGGTTACACAATAATCAAGGGGTAAGAACAGAATATGAAAATAATTTACGGGTCAGATAATTGTCCAATTAGTATCAGAAGTGGTTTTGTGGATAATACAATAATTTAAATAGTTGAGATCATGACTCAATTAAAGCCGGACCACCACGGAAAATCTGAAAGCACTGAACGGCCGTTTCGCTCTTTTGTGAGTCTCCTCAGCAGTGTGCATAAACACCGTTGGATGCCGGTTCAGTAGTCTAGAGGATAAGTGACTGATATGTCCTAGATACGAATCTCGTGAGGCGGGATCGTGAATGCGCACTGCTGAGAAGTCCCACAATAGGACGAAACAGCCGTCCAGTGCTTTCAGGTTCTCCATGGTGGTCTAGTTTCAATTGACTCATGAATTCAACTATTAAATTAATAGACAAATAATGTGAAAACAATATGAAACCGTATCACTCTGAACAATAAGCTAATGGTACCAGAGTGATGAGGTTTCAAAGTGTTTTCACATTATTTCTTTATTCTCCTTTTACCCTCCATTTCTAGTCTAGTTGGCCGTGTATTTATATATATAAATGTATTTAACAAGTATATGTGTGATTAAATTGTTTGAAATGTATTGCGCCAATATATCACATAGTTCTGATAATCTTCGTTTTCATTTAAGATTGACGTGATTTGTAATGATTACATGAATAGATCATAAGAAGTTGAGTATAGGTCAAACTTGTGCGAATTAACAAAATACAACGATATAATGACATTTCGAATTGTAAAGTAGTATGTAATTAAATGTATGCTTCAATAAAATATCCTTCTTATATTTGGTATCACAGTTTTGTTAATGAATTTATTTTCTTAAGCGAGATAAAAGTGTAAAGTACAAATTTGGTGGAACCTGACAAATAGAAAACGTAAATAAATAATCTGTCTCTTTGCTCAGCAAAGAAAAAAGTATTAATATAAAATGATCTAATTTCTTCCCCAGAAAAGAAACATTTCGTACATTAAATCAGGTAGACTAACATTAGAAATTAGGAATATTTTTAACTGCACCTCATACTAATCTTAAACACCTAAAAAATGAATTTAAAGTTGAAATAGAACGTTGTTTTAATTACTGATACTTAAGGATATCAGTAGTGTGACCATATTCAAATTATACATTTATTTAAAGATAGTTCCGTGAAATGGAATTTCTGGAAAACATGCTCAGAGTTTCCTTCTTGTCTCTTGCTAAGAAGTGGTTTGGATAAGCATTTTTGTCTAACGCTTTTTCTAGAGGAGTTAAGTTCTTCAATGCATTCAGTACAAGAGGTCTTACGCAATCGGTGATGTAGGAAGTCAATAAGATCTCTCTTTTCATTTGGTGAAACCTGCTATAGAAGTTAGTTAGCTGACCGTTTCATGGTTTCTTTTTATCAAAGAACCTTTTTAGGGATCCATCACTACATCTTGTCTAAAGCACATCAAGAAATAAATTGGAATAGCTTGCTTCATTTCCGAATGTGAGATCTATGGGACTATACAAAATGCTGAAAGTAAAATGTCAACTGATTGAACATACTCGTAAAAAGTGTCAAATGTGTCGTTCATATGTACTTTGTACAGGTTAAATCACTCGATAACAGAAACAAGATGATCGTTTTGAAGCTTAGGCTTGAAACAACGCTTAAGATCCCAGTCATCGTTGTCGATATAGTTGATTAGTGAAGCAGAACTGTATGTTTCAAGTACAATATAACAATATTTCTCTCAATCAGTTAATCTACAAGCCCACATCTATATTATGAAAGTCAGTATAGTTACATATGTAACGTATGGCTTCTACTAACTGTACGCTAGTTAACAGTTAATTAATATTAGGCAAAACATGAGTTTTTAAAAAGTATTGACATTCTTAATATTATCAACAGATTGAAATGTATCACATACAGATACTTGTATAAATACCTACTTCCTAGATGGTTTCAGTTTTTGCGCTAACCATTGACCTGTTCGTTCGTGGAGTGAGTTAAACGTATCCGAGCTTAGGCACCTTGAGTATTCCATATGAGTCCGGAATGATTAGACTTATGGAACGAATAAAATCAAGTAAATCTGAGGTCATTATTATTATATCAACACTTCAAATCTTTTCGAAAAATCTGTAATCTTTTTTCTTTTCGCCATACCCAAAAGAGGAGTAAACAAAACCCAGCCTTTCCGACCATAGTATTGTGCGT